TGAAAAAGCAACAAATTCATCAAATTTTCATATTTTCGTATCTATCTCGATATTGACGCATCTAAGAGCAAAAATGCAAAAGAGCAATATTGTTAACAATAAAATTTGCTACAACTTTTGTTATAAAAGTTTTTTTATAGCATGCTCCGATTCCAAAGTGTTACCTATAATAGCTGGAAAGAGCAACAAATTCATAAAATTTTGATATTTTCGTATCTATCTCGGTATTGGCGCATTTAAGAGCAAAAATGTAAGAGCACAATATTGTTAACAATAAAATTTGCTACAACTTTTCTTCTAAAAGTTTTTTTATAACATGCTCCGATTCTCAAGTGTTACCTATAACTTGAAAGAGTAACAAATTTTCATATTTTCGTATCTATCTCGATATTGACGCATCTAAGAGCAAAAATGCAAGAGAGCAATATCGTTAACAATAAAATTTGCTACAACTTTTGTTATAAAAGTTTTTTTATAGCATGCTCCGATTCCGAAATGTTACCATTAGCTGATAGTAAAACAAGGAAATTCATCAAATTTTCAAATTTTTTTATTTTTCTCGATATCGACGCATCTAAGAGCAAAAATGCAAGAGAGCAATATTGTTAACAATAAAATTTGCTACAACTTTTGTTCTAAAAGTTTTTTTATAGCATGCTCCGATTCTCAAGTGTTATCTATAACTTGAAAGAATAACAAATTTTCATATTTTCGTATATATCTCGATATTGACGCATCTAAGAGCAAAAATGCAAGAGAGCAATATTGGTAAGCAAAGAATTTGCTACAACTTTTGTTCTAAAAATTTTTTGATAACATGCTTCAATTCTCGAATGTTACCATTAGCTAATAGTAAAACAAAAAATTCATAAAATTTTTGAATTTTCGTATTTTTCTCAAAATTGACGCATCTGAGAGCAAAAATACAAGAGAGCAATATTGTTAAGAACCAACAACCAACAACTTTTGTTGTAAACATTTTTTTGTAACATGCTCCGTTATCCATATGTCATTATTAACTGCTTCGAAAACAACAAAATTCATCAAAATCTCATAATTTCGTATTTTTCTCAATATGTATACATCTGAGAGCAAAAGTATAACAGAGCAATATTGCTAAGAATAAAATTTGCAACAACTTTTGTTCTAAAAGTTTTTTTGTAGCAAGCTCCGATATCCGAGTGTTACCATCAACTACTTTGAAAACGACATCGTTGCGATTAAAAGTTTTTATCTCAAAAACTAAAAGATATTTTCGAAAACGGTCTGTTTCGTTAAAAAGGTTATGATTTTGGGTAAAGGTGGTGATAATTTCGATTTGATTCATTAAAAATTCGATTTTGTACGATTTTTTGAAATTAACCCAACTAATTTTTCCTCTAAAAAATGAAAAACGAAATAAAAATTTTTATCTCAAAAACTAAAAGATATTTTCAAAATCGGTTTGATTCATTGAAAAGGTGACACTTTACTCTACAATTTTTGAAAATTGCGTGGCGATATCTTAAATGCTCGATTTTTGGCGATTTTTTTTTTAATTCATGTATTTTGTAATTTTCAACATTTGACGTTGAATTTAAAGAATCACAACAATGGGAGTTATGGAAATTAAGAAATAATTTTTTCTGCATTAAATTTTGATTAAATTCGCCTCAAAATGCTTTATATCTCATAGTTATATCTCAATTACTTTTTGAGATATCATCTTTTAAATTTCATTAACACCTAAATTTAAGCTTTTTTCGATGGGTATCGTTCATTTTGGCTTCTGAGAGCATAAGTGAAAGAGAGCAATATTGTTAAGAATAAAATTTGCTACAACTTTTGTTCTAAAAGTTTTTTTGTAACATGCTTCGATTCCCGAATGTTACCATTAGGTGATAGTAAAACAACGAAATTCATCAAATTTTCATAATTTCATACTTTTCTCAATATTTATGCATCCGAGAGCAAAAATGTAAGAGAGCAATATTGTTAACAATAACATTTGCTACAACTTTTGTTCTAAAAGTTTTTTTATAACATGCTCCGATTCTCAAGTGTTACCTATAATAACTTGAAAGAGCAACAAATTCATAAAATTTTCTTATTTGTCTCGGTATTGGCGCATCTAAGAGCGAAAGTGCAAGAGAGCAATATTGTTAACAATAAAATTTCCAACAATTTTTGTTATAAAAGTTTTCTTATAGCATACTCCGATTCTCAAATATTAGCTTTAATATCTTAAAAAATAAACAAATTTTATAATTCTTTGTGTGGAGGTTTTCTGTTATTATTTTATTATAAAATCATTACACTTTCTCTCCTTTAACTATTTATTTCTAAATCATTACAAAGGACGTTTCGGGACTATTCCCATCATCAGCTTTAATAATTTCTGTCATCTGAAGAAAGAACGTAAATCATTTAATTGTTGTTTCTTTAGATGACAAAAATTACTTTTGTTCTAAAAGTTTTTTTATAGCATGCTCCGATTCCCAAATGTTACCATTAGCTGATAGTAAAACAAGGAAATTCATAAAATTTTCAAATTTTTTTATTTTTCTCGATATCGACGCATCTAAGACCAAAAATGCAAGAGAGCAATATTGTTAACAATAACATTTGCTACAACTTTTGTTCTAAAAGTTTTTTTATAGCAAGTTTCGATTCTCAAGTGTTACCTATAATAAGTTGAAAGAGCAATATATTCATAAAATTTTGATATTTTCGTATCTATCTCGATATTGACGCATCTAAGCGCAAAACTACAAGAGAGCAATATTTTTAAGAATAAAATTTGCAACAATTGTTGTTATAAAAGTTTTTTTATAGCATGCTCCGATTCTCAAGTGTTACCTATAACTTGAAAGAGTAACAAATTTTCATATTTTCGTATCTATTTCGATATTGACGCATCTAAGAGCAAAAGTCAAGGGAGCAATATTATTAATAATAAGATTTGCTACAACTTTTGTTCTAAAAGTTTTTTTATAGCAAGTTTCGATTCTCAAGTGTTACCTATAATAAGTTGAAAGAGCAACAAATTCGTCAAATTTTCATATCTATTTCGATATTGACGTATCTAAGAGCAAAAATGCAAGAGAGCAATATTGTTAACAATAAAATTTGCTACAAGTTTTGTTCTAAAAGTTTTTTTATAGCATGCTCCGATTCTCAAGTATTACCTATAACTTGAAAGAGTAAAAAATTTTCATATTTTCTTATCTATTTCGATATTGACGCATCCAAGAGCAAAAATGCAAGAGAGCAATATTGTTAACAATAAAATTTGCTACAACTTTTGTTCTAAAAGTTTTTTTATAGCATGCTCCGATTCTCAAGTATTACCTATAACTTGAAAGAGTAAAAAATTTTCATATTTTCTTATCTATTTCGATATTGACGCATCCAAGAGCAAAAATGCAAGAGAGCAATATTGTTAACAATAAAATTTGCTACAACTTTTGTTCTAAAAGTTTTTTTATAGCATGCTCCGATTTCCAAATGCTACCATTAGCTGATGGTAAAACAAGGAAATTCATCAAATTTACAATTTTTTTTATTTTTCTCGTTATTGACGTATCTAAGAGCAAAAATTAAAGAGAGCAATATTGTTAAGAATAAAATTAGCTACAACTTTTGTTATAAAAGTTTTTTTGTAACATGCTCCGATTCCTGAATATTACCATTAGGTGGTAGTAAAACACGGAAATTCGTCAAATTTTCATATTTTGGTATTTTTCTCGATATTGACGCATTTGAGAGCAAAAATGAAAGAGAGCAATATTGTTAAGAATAAAATTAGCTACAACTTTTGTTTTAAAAGTTTTTTTGTAACATTCTCCGATTTAAAAATATTACCATTAGCTGATAGTAAAACACGGAAATTCGTCAAATTTTCATATTTTCGCATTTTTCTCGATATTGACGCATTTGAGAGCAAAAATTAAAGAGAGCAATATTGTTAAGAATAAAATTAGCTACAACTTTTGTTTTAAAAGTTTTTTTGTAACATTCTCCGATTTAAAAATATTACCATTAGCTGATAGTAAAACACGGAAATTCGTCAAATTTTCATATTTTCGCATTTTTCTCGATATTGACGCATTTGAGAGCAAAAATTAAAGAGAGCAATATTGTTAAGAATAAAATTAGCTACAACTTTTGTTTTAAAAGTTTTTTTGTAACATTCTCCGATTTAAAAATATTACCATTAGCTGATAGTAAAACACGGAAATTCGTCAAATTTTCATATTTTCGCATTTTTCTCGATATTGACGCATTTGAGAGCAAAAATTAAAGAGAGCAATATTGTTAAGAATAAAATTAGCTACAACTTTTGTTTTAAAAGTTTTTTTGTAACATTCTCCGATTTAAAAATATTACCATTAGCTGATAGTAAAACACGGAAATTCGTCAAATTTTCATATTTTCGCATTTTTCTCGATATTGACGCATTTGAGAGCAAAAATTAAAGAGAGCAATATTGTTAAGAATAAAATTAGCTACAACTTTTGTTTTAAAAGTTTTTTTGTAACATTCTCCGATTTAAAAATATTACCATTAGCTGATAGTAAAACACGGAAATTCGTCAAATTTTCATATTTTCGCATTTTTCTCGATATTGACGCATTTGAGAGCAAAAATTAAAGAGAGCAATATTGTTAAGAATAAAATTAGCTACAACTTTTGTTTTAAAAGTTTTTTTGTAACATTCTCCGATTTAAAAATATTACCATTAGCTGATAGTAAAACACGGAAATTCGTCAAATTTTCATATTTTCGCATTTTTCTCGATATTGACGCATTTAAGAGCAAAAATACAGAGATATTGTTAAGAATCAAATTTGCTCCAACTTTTGTTTCAAAAGTTTTTTTGTGCAACCAATTCCTTTTTATTTCCAGCGAGGATTAGGTTTCATGCCAAAACACGGCTTAAACACCAACTCATGCGAAATATTCCGCTTCTACAAGCTCCACACCAGCCGCGGATTATGCGAACCCATCAGCATGATCGTTCCGAGGAAAAGCGACCAATTCCACGAGGATTTATACCCAGATACAGCTTCTAATAAGCCTGCTTTAAGCGCGTCGGATTGGATCAGCGGAAGAGACGCTAATCCTGTTTTAATGTCGATGAAAACAAGTAAATTTATATTAATTAATTAATTTTAATTGAATCATTTAATTTATTTTAATTTTAGAGACCGAAATTTTGCTTCAAGATAAACCAAAAGTACAAAAAACAACGAATATTATTATTAGCGCAAATTCGAGGCAGGAAGTACCCTCTCAGGAAAATAACAAGAAGAAATTTGCGTTCTTAGCCACAGAAACGACCCCAGATTATCGCCCAAGAAGTATAATTTTGGAGAAGGAGCAAAAAACGACTACCAATAAGATCCACCAATTAAAAGAGTTCTTCAACAACGTCCATAATAATCATTGCAATGAAGGAATTGAGGTTGATTTGCCTTTAAGGAAGGAGATAAATTGTATTGGAGATACAATTACAACAGAGTATGAATTAAAAAAGGCTTTTTTGCAACAATCTGAGGAATTAAAAGTGGTTAAGAAGAAATTGGCGAATAGCGAGGTGAAAATAAAAGAGTTAGAGGAGGAAATTAGGAGGTTAAAATTAATTAATTAAGTTTGGGTTAATTTTTTCTTTTTTTTGTTTTATTCTGTTACCATTTTGTACTTTTTTTTGTAATTATTATTATTATTGACGATTATCTTGTGATACTTAATTTTATTTTTAAACTTTATCAAAAAATAAATAAATAAATAAAAAGCTTGGGCGGAATTAAAACATTTCTAGAAGTGCTTGTACAAAAAAAAAAAATAATTAAAACACAAATATATAACAAAATATTCATTAAGATGTAATAAATATATTTTTGCAAAGCTTTTTGAGCGAGTTTAATCGACCCTTTTTTTGAAAAGGGGTCGTTTGGCTTTTAACAAAGTTCTAATTAATTTTTAAACGTAATTCTTTTTATATTTAAGTTTAAAAAGGCACAATCAGTATTAGATGTATTTAGAAATATCTTTATTTACTTTTAAATGTACGTACAAAATATACATTTTTAAAAGAAATAAAAAAAATTAATAAATAACTTTGTTTTATTTCCACCAACTAAGTCATATCGAATCATGTATAGATCATTTTAAAGCTTGGTGTGCCATAAATAAATTCTTAATTCCCATAAATGTAGTTGTAAAGATTTTTTTAATTAAACTCAACTTCATCCAATTTTGATATTTTTATATTTTTTTCAATATTGACGTATCTGAGAGCAAAAATGAAAGAGGGTGATTTTGTTAAGAATAAAATTTGCTACAACTTTTAATTCAAAAGTTTTTTTGTAACATGCTCCATTTCCAAAATATTATCACTATGCTATAAATGCAACAAATTCATCCAAATTTCATATTTTAATATTTTTTTCGATATTGACGCATCTGAGAGCAAAAATGAAAGGGAGCAATATTATTAAGAATAAAATTTGTTATAACTTTTGTTTCAAAAGTTTTTTTGTAACATGCTCCATTTCCAAAATATTACCATTGTGCAATAAATGCAATAAATTCATCCAATTTTGATATTTTAACATTTCTTTCGATATTGACGCATCTGAGAGCAAAAATGAAAGAGAGCAATATTGTTAAGAATAAAATTTGCTACAACTTTTGTTCTAAAAGTTTTTTTGTATCATGTTCCGATTTTCAAATGTTACCATTAGCTAATAGTAAAACAAAAAATTCATCAAATTTTTGAATTTTCTTATTTTTCTCAAAATTGACGTATCTGAGAGCAAAAATATAAGAGAGCAATATTGTTAATAACAAAATTTGCAACAACTTTTGTTCTAAAAAATTTTTGATAACATGCTTGGATTCCCAAATGTTACCATGAGCTAATATTAAAACAAGAAAATTCATCAATTTTTAAATTTTCGCATTTTTCTCAATATTGACGCATCTGAGAACAAAAATACAAGAGAGCAATATTATTAATAACAAAATTTGCAACAACTTTTGTTCTAAAAATTTTTTGATAACATGCTCCAATTCCCAAATGTTACCATTAGCTAATAGTAAAACAAAAAATTCATCAAATTTTTAAATTTTCGCAACCGCTCGATAAAAAAAATGGCGACAAAATTAATTGCAATCAGTGAAGATTTTTACATAATATTTTTACGACGTCGCGCCTTTATTTCTTTATGTAGGTAAAGAAAGGCGCGACGTACTGTCTAGAATGCATGAAAAATTGTCCTGCTTTAAATTTTTTGTATTAAGATACGTAATATATTTCAAATTTAAGCTAAATGATTTTCTAAATGATCATCGGGTTTGATGATATACTTTTGGAGAAAAAAATTCCTGAAGAAAAAATGAATTCATCAAAATTTTATATTTTCCTATTTATCTCAATATCGACGTATCTGAGAGCAAATATACAACAGAGCAATATTGTTAAGAACAAGATAAGCAACAACTTTTGTTCTAAAAGTTTTTTGATAACATGCTCCGATTTCCATATGTTACCATTAGCTAATAGTAAAACAAGAAAATTAATCAATTTTTAAAATTTTCGCATTTTTCACAATATTGACGCATCTTAGAGCAAAAATACAACAGAGCAATATTGTTAAGAACAAAATTTGCTACAACTTTTGTTCTAAAAGTTTTTTTGTAACATGCTCCGTTTCCCAAATTACACCATTATGCAATAAATGAAATAAATTCATCCAATTTTCATATTTTAATATTTTTCTCGATATTGACGCATCTGAGAGCAAAAATGAAAGAGAGCAATATTGTTAAGAATAAAACTTAATAACTTTTGTTTCAAAAGTTTTTTTGTAATATGCTTCATTTCCAAAATATTACCACTATGCAATTGTTCGCGCGGCAAATAACCGGGAAACAAAAATTAGGTGTTAGTTCTTTAATTGAAAGAAAATGACAATAAAGATAAATAATAAAACAAAAAAATCGCAACTAACTAAATTTAATATAAATGAAATTGAAAATATAATTACCTTTGATTTAATATAAGTGTGAGCGTGGATGGACGTGATAGCAGAACGTGGTTTTTCGAATTATTGACACGTGTGATAGAAAGTGTGATTGAAAAGTAATTGAATGAGAGTATATTAAACTTGAAAACTCCAGATTGAGCCGGCGCACATGCGCACATAACTCGGAAATGGGGTGAAAATAAGAAAATTAAATGCAGGACAAACAGCAACAAATGCAACAAATTCACACAATTTTCATATTTTAGCATTTCTTTCGATATTGACGCATCTGAGAACAAAAATGAAAGAGGGCGATATTGTTAAGAAGAAAATTTGCAACAACTTTTGTTCTAAAATTCTTTTGATAACATACTCCGATTTCCAAATGTTACCATTAGCTAATAGTAAAACAAGAAAACGCATCAATTTTTTAAATTTTCGTATTTTTCTCAATATTGACGCATCTGAGAGCAAAAATACAAGAGAGCAATATTGTTAATAACAAAATTTGCAACAACTTTTGTTCTAAAAATTTTTTGATAACATACTCCGATTTCCAAATGTTGCCATTAGCTAATAGCAAAACAAGAAAATTTATCAAATTTTTAAATTTTCGTATTTTTCCCAATATTGACGCATCTGAGAGCAAAAATACAAGAGAGCAATATTGTTAATAACAAAATTTGCAGCAACTTTTGTTCTAAAAATTTTTTTGTAACATGCTCCGATTTCCAAATGTTGCCATTAGCTAATAGTGGAACAAAAAATTCATCAAATTTTTTAATTTTTGCGTTCTTCTCAATATTGACGCATCTGAGAGTAAAAATATAAGAGAGCAATATTCTTAATAACAAAATTTACAACAACTTTTGTTTTAAAAATTTTTTTGTAACATGCTCCGATTTCCAAATGTTACCATTAGCTAATAGTAAAACAAAAAATTTATCAAATTTTTGAATTTTCGTATTTTTCTCAATATTGACGCATCTGAGAGCAAAAATATAAGAGACCAATATTGTTAAAAATAAAATTTGCAACAACTTTTGTTCTAAAAGTTTTTTGATAACATGCTCCGATTCTGAAATGTTACCATTACGAGCAAGTAAAACGACAAGTTCATAAAATTTTTGTGATTTAAAGAAAGATAAAGAAAAGAAAGATATTTTGAAAATCTGTTTCGGTCATAGGAAAGCTTATAATTTGTACTATAAATACTGATAATTCCATAAGAATTCATTAAAGCTACGATTTACTACGATTTTTTGAAAATGACTGTTTATTCTAAAATATACGATTCCTGGCTTGAACCTAAGAAGTGGTGATATCTATGATTGCATTGGTTATGGATTATGTTCTGTTGATTCATTATCATCAATTTTTAAGCAAAACCTTTTTCTCTATTCCTTTTAGTTTATTAATCATAACAGAATTGAATGTAGACGAATATCAAATTTGATATTTTGGGATTTCCTGGTTTGTACATAACAAATGGAGATAGCTATGGTGGTATTGGTTATGGATTATGTTATATTGATCCATTATGATCAATTTTTATAGGAAACGTTTTTCTCTATTCCTTTTAGTTTATTAATCATAACAAAATTAATGAAGATAATCCCAATTTTGATTTTTTTAGAAATCCTGGCTTATTATTATGTTATGTTATGATTATGGTTATTTGTTATGACAATGTTGTTAACAATAAAATTAGCAACAACTTTTGTTCAACTTTTGGATTAAGATACGTAATATATCTCAAATTTAAGCTAAATGATTATATTTTGAGATAGGATTAAAAAAATATCGGGTTTGATGATATACTTTTGGAGAAAAAAATTCCTGATGGAGAAATGAATTCATCAAAATTTCATATTTTCCTATTTATCTCGATATCGATGTATCTGAGAGCAAATATACAACAGAGCAATATTGTTTAGAACAAGATAAGCAACAACTTTCGTTCTAAAAGTTTTTTGATAACATGCTCCGATTTCCAAATGTTACCATTAACTGATAGTGGAACAAAAAATTCATCAAATTTTTGAATTTTCGTATTTTTCTCAATATTGACGCATCGGAGGGCAAAAATATAAGAGAGCAATATTGTTAATAACAAAATTTGCAACAACTTTTGTTCTAACAATATTTTGATAACATGCCCCGATTCCCAAATGTTACCATTAGCTAATAGTAAAACAAGAAAATTAATCAATTTTTTAAATTTTCTCATTTTTCTCAATATTGACGCATCTTAGAGCAAAAATACAAGAGAGCAATATTGTTAAGAACAAAGTTTTTTTGTAACATGCTTCGATTCCCGAATGTTACCATTAGCTGATAGTAAAACAAGGAAATTCATCAAATTTTTAAATTTTTGTACTTTTCTCAATATTGATGCATCTCAGAGCAAATATACAAGAGAGCAATATTGTTAAGAATAAAATTTGTTACAACTTTTGTTCTACAAATTTTTTGATAACATACTCCGATTTCCAAATGTTACCATTAGCTAATAGTAAAACAAAAAATTCATCAAATGTTTAAATTTTCGTATTTTTCTCGATATTGACGCATCTGAGAGCAAATATACAAGAAAGCAATATTGTTAAGAACAAAATTTGCTACAACTTTTGTTTCAAAAGTATT